GTATCGGGCTTAAAGTAACTATATTGTCAATATTCATTGTGTTTTTTCCTTTATTTCTTCATAGATCCCTTCAATCTCGATCACAACCTTGGTGCAGGCATCACCCGTAAGATGGGCACATTCATCAGGAATGCTTTAGCTCGTGGTCGAGAAAGATTTGGTTCCACACCTCCAGTCCTCCCCTTCCWCATCTTGATCGATTTCTACTTCCATGTAGATTTCCTGACAGACGGGTGTGAGGCACCCAGTGACCGAACATGTCGTGTTTGCGGCCACATTGGACATATCGCCAGAGAATGTCCCAGGCTCAAGAAAAACCGAAGAGAAGAAAGAGAGAGGCTTCAAGATCGCTCTAATTTGAGCAATCGGCCGTTCGCAATGATGAATGCGAGTCCCCGTAAACGCGCGTCTACAGTTCCYATTCAGATCACAAGAAAGGATACTGTCACAGAAAAAAAAGAGGATCATCTTGCAGAGTCTCTGCCCAGTGACCCTTTTCCCAAAGATGCAATGCGGGCTTCTAAACCCCCAGATGGAATCGAGAAACCAAGTAGTATGCCCACGGGTCTTGACAAAGCTTTCTTGGAGAAACAASAAACAAAGTCAATTGAAGCGGTTGCTTCAATCCAAGGAGATGTTCTTGGAGCCAATACATCCAATGAGCAATCTCAGCATCAAGTTTCTCAACCCTCACGAAGTAACCTTGGACCTAAACCACAGGTTGAAGATCAATTCACTCGCGCTCCTATGGATCCATTGCCACGCTCCTCTCACACAGACACTCAAAACGACTCTGTCACATCACATGCATCAAATATTCCCCAAGATACACCTCGACCAGGATTTGGACCAGTAGGGCCATCAGCATTCACAAATCCTAGTCTTCCTAGTAAAAACGTACCTTACGGTGTTCAGCTTTTACCACCGGAAAAATTTATGAGTCCACCAAAGGGTTCTATTCATACTCATCCAGCAGGCTCACCACATCAACCATTTTTATCACCACAACAACATCTTGGACAACTTTCCGATGAGGCAAGGATATCCAATCAAATCCTTCCTGGGTTCCCTGTGATACCCTTACTGGAAAATCCCTTAAATGCCTGGACTCCTATGCCACATCTTGAACCACACTACCATAGCCCGCCGGCCAGGAACATTCCTGGACAACCACGCGAGAGGCCTAGAAGTGTATCAGAGAGCATGGCCTCTCCAGATGCACATCCTGAGCATCGCATACCACTATCTATAGGGAGTAGCCCTCCCGTACATCCCGAGTATCGTATGCCACTACCTATAGGGAGCAGCCCTTCTGTACCAATGCCCCTTGGTAGTCCGCCGCAGGTCTTTAGGAGCTACAACGACAACCCATTTTGGGGTAATAGGGGATTTCCTACCCAAAACGTTGGTTCACCAASCAGACATCCTTCATCACTACCATCCAACTTTCCTATGCCGCATCCAACTAGGAACGTGGATCAAGCTCATTTCTTGATGCAACAGCAACAGCAGCAGCCGGCACAGAGCCCTCCCCAACCACAACCAATGATGCCCAAGGCGTACGGCGGTAACATGGTCAGTCTCTTTTGGCCACATTGGGTCTATCGATTTTAATTTTATGTGCTTAATTGTGTCCCATAATCTGTATATGCTTTTAAAAACCTTTGGAATAGACCTTTCTAGAATTCTCTTGGGTGACCACGAAACAATGACTCCAAATCCAGGTTGGATTTAATAGTAATAATAATTTAATATTTCTATTGCGCATGTTCCATCGGAAGATGCTCACACGCTTACACTTGATGTTCATACATTAACTGTATTTTATCAAGTCCAACCTCGACTTGGAAGTCAAAATACATGCTTGATTTTAGATCTGTTTTGCGRTCACTGTAAACAATGAAATTAGTAACACTGCTTGACTAACAGTTTTGCACTTTCAAGTAGTCTTCTGTATACACTTATTTCAAAAAACGTTGTCGGTTGGAGATCCGAAATGGGCGATCTGAGAATAAACAGAATTTTTGTACTTTTACGTTTTCTGGCTAAAATACAAAAATATCATATTTCTATTTCAAAGGTCATGCTCCAATCTAAAAGGAAACTATACTTTGTCCTCTGGTTCGGCTTTGAATATATTACATTTTGCAGCGTGTTACTCGGTCGGTCTAGGATTTCAGATTTCCGACCGACAACGTTTTTTGAAATAGGTGTATATCATTTCTGCGGGTTTAAACACAAAAATCTATAATATATTTAATTATTAATGTAATCGATGATCCTGCACTACGTCACGGCTCAAGGTGTGGTTAGGGACTGAGTCTATCAACTACCTATGAAAGCCTTTACTCACCACGGATGTTTGAGTAAGTTTTCTGATTGGTGCATGCATCCCACTCATTAAGAATTCAAAAAAAGTCAAAAGACATGGCTGCCATGTTGGTTAACATAAACACATAATTTTAATAAGCACCGATGATTTTAATAAAAAGAGTAGAGTGTTTTTCTGCAAAGTCTTTTGCTACTCTGTGATTTATTTCTTCCAGAGTCCCGACGTTTTTTTCAAGATGGTAAAAGAAGCTGAGCAACAAAGTACTCGTCAAGTACAGAATAGCCAAGATGCACGACCGAAGCCAATACCATCGTCTGATGTGAGTACAACTGGACAGTACTTTTTATCCATTTTCATTATTCCATTATTAGAGCATTATTCCACAGTGCTTCTCAGTGGACATTCACCACGCAGCAGCTATGTTTGATCTCATAAGATAAAAACCTTTGTTTAACAGGTATGAATTTATTCTCAAGCACTTGAATGCCACGCGTGCTGGAAGCTATTGTTCAAGCCAACATGGCTGCCGCGTAAAAAATACCCATAGCTTGCGCGGAATCATACGGTTTTCCGTCGCAACAACTCATACGATTTTGGCATTTGATTTTTTTTAAGGGCATGTACATGTGGAATGTCATGGAAATGCCTTGATTGACGTCCGCCAAAAATTTCGTCACGACGATGATTCTGGCCTAAAAGCACTGCGAGAGTTTCGTGCTAGACTGTCTGGCAAAATTTTGGCTCTGAGTGAATCCCCGTTGCCTCTTTCCACAACGTGCCTTTTTTTACCCATTGACATAACCCACCCAACCAGCTGAATCATCGTCATCCATTTTTGTTCTGATGGACGCAAGCTAATAAAACTAAAAACCTCATACCTCATTAAAATAGATGTAAAACTGCATCCTCCATTTTCTTCTCAGGCTGTGTTAAGTCATCCAGTAGCAACTCCAATTTTTAAACCACCCAAGACTGCAGACGAGAAGGAGCTGTTTTCTAAGCTCGACAAGGTTCGAGGTTTATGGACCGGCGCCACACCGGATAATGGGCTTAACTACAAGACACAGACGAACAGTGGAAACGATTACATGAAAACCATGCCAAGCCAAGAAAAAGAGAACAATTTCAAGAAAGAGGTCAAAGGAAGCTCTCATAATGATTTGCAAGAAGCTTACTTTGTACAGGAGAAACAGCCAAGAGAGATTAGAAATGATCACGTGAGCATAGGGTCACGTGAGCAGTTTGATCAAGTGAGCATGGAGCCACGTGAACAGGCTAACACATCCTTGGGAATCACAATGGACGTTTCCGAAAGGACTGTGAATGACATAACCCCAGATTCAAAAGCAACAAACAAACAACCACAGCCTCCAAATCCCACTGAAATAAAAGTCGACCAACCAAGTACGCAGATTCTACCTCAAGATAGAAAAAGTGAGAAGCCATCGGAAGGTACCGCAAGCCCTGTACTCAAGAAGCAGTTGGAGGATGAAGGGAAGAAGAAAAGAAACTCCAAAGACAAGACCAAACAGAAGCAGCAGCAGCAACAGCAGCAGCAAACATCAACTGACACTTCCAAATTATTAAAAAAGAAGCAAGGACTCTTAGGAGACAAACCTGGAGAATCTCTCGCCTCGGGAAAGAAACGCCAAGAAAATCGTCCTAATAAGAATATGGACGCRACTGACAGCTCAAGTTCGACCTCCTTGGGTGCGGGTTCTGAGTCTGAAACCGCGCTGTTTGATTTAAGATCTTACCAGAAGGCGTTTCCCTTGGGAGATCTTGACATGGAGACCAACTCAGACAGAGACGGTGGTGATGGGTCAGTTCCCCAACCAAAGCCACACAAGAAACAAAACAGAAATAAAAGCAATGCCCGAAATGGTCAAGAATCTAGAAACACGGCAAGTGGTTCTCGGGTCGTGGAAGAGTCGTCATCCTCGTCGCGAAGAGGGAATAAGAAAGGTGGGTTCGGAGACAAAGGGGCTTCCTCAGCTGGAGAGCCTGCACCAAAACGGAGGAAATCAAAAGAGGGGCTGCCTAGTGGTATTCGAAGCAGCAAAGAAGAATCTAAGGAAAAAGTAGGGAAGTCAGTGGAGAATGGCAGTACGGTTGAAACAACACAGAAAAAAGAAATAGAAACGCCGTCGAAGAATTCTCGAGGCCCCAGAGAAAACAGGAACAGAAGGAAACAAGCCAAAGGACCTGCCTCAGAGGACAAATCGGAGTCCTTTGAGAAAGTACCTGTGGAAAGCAGTGTTGCGCCAACACCACAAGGTAAAAATGGAGGCACATCAGCTTCAAAAACACCTAATGTTCCCAAAGAAGATAAAACCAGAGGACGAAGAAAGCAAAGCAAGGACTCACCCCCTGCTGGGAAAAGTACACCATCACCATCGCCTGAGAATACAACTGGGACTAGCAGCCAGGTACAAATGACACCAAAAAAAGGAGAAAAGAGTGGAACCCCTTCCACGACAACGCGAGGGACTAAAGAAGAAAATGTTAAAGTTATAGAACAAGGTAGAGGGGTGACTCCTGTTGCGAAGAAGGAGTCGCCTACTAGCCGGAGCGAAGATTCTGGAGAAGACACTAAAGGGGGAAATAGTGGTCCGAAACGTAAGAGTAAAGGGCGTGGTAGGGGTAGGGGACGAGGACGGGGGTACGATACTCAACCTCAGCCAGGGCCAGGAACTGATGCAAAGACTTCGCGGTCTGGAAATGAGAAACACAAAGGTAAGATGTCCTTCATTCCCTCCCTCCCTCCCTCCCTTCCTCCCTTCCTCCCTTCCTCCCGCACTCTATCAATTACCTCCTTTTCCTTACTGCATAAACTCATAGAGCATTTTCACTCACGTGACAAGGCAGCCATATTGATGCACCAAACAACAAACTTTCTGCAAAGTTTTTGCATAAAAATAGTATTCAATTCCCGGAGGATAGGTTTTGGTTTTGGTACACCAACATGGCCGCTGTCGGACGTCACGTGAAAACGCTCAATATTGGGGATTCGTTATTGTCTTTTATATTTTCCAATATAATCAAAATAGCCAACTCCCCCCCACCTAGATCCACCCCTGCATTTTTAAATGATATTTAGGTCCTCGTTCTTTTCCTTCATCCTTGCTGTTCTCCATTCCTCCCTCATGCCCTTCACCTCCTTTCCTCTCTTTCACCATCCCCGTCTCTTTCTCTTTTCTCCTCTCTCATCTGTTGCTTATAAATTAAGTTACCTAATGTTGTTTTTTCCTCATAGGATCTCAAGAACCTCGAAAATAAAGCCTTGTACTCGTTAGATGAACAGATGGGAGTTAATCGATCATACCCTATGGTTTTCCATTTGACCATGACGGTAAAAATAGTCTGCATACATTAACGGTAGTATAGACCTATTGCAATAAACGCTGTCATCGCCAAAGGCGATAGCAGGTCATTCCGACATGTTAATGGTTTCGTTGAATGAACACAAACAACATCGAATCAGTCTCAAAACTAAGGTCCATGTTCTTGACGAGAATAAGAAGCAGAAACACAAGTCATTCCAGCTCTTCCTGGATCTTGCAATGACCTATTTCCTATCGCTTTTCTCCTATTGCCTATCTTGGCAATGACAACGTTTTTTTATAGATAGGTGTATGCGTTTATAGCTTATCACTAGTTAGTTTTATAGCTAATTTACTTAGGTTAAACATTCTTCTGGGGCACTTAATCATTCGTATTTCTTTCCCATTACACGTTCCTTTTCTGATTTGCTAATAATGGCACCAAAAAATAAAACAGGAATGAGAAAAAGTTACTTATTTCAAAAGCGAGCTCAATGGACTTTTATCACGTGCCAGGGATTTCCCCGCGTGACCTCGCATTCAAGCGTTTCAGGAAGAATTTACTCGTGGTTAAACAAGGGTTTTTATTCTCTTCGGAATAAACATGGCACCTTGTGATAAAAGGCCATTTTATAGACCTTTTGCAAAGTCGCTTGAATGACCACGAAACAATGAYCCCAAGTCGAGGTTGGAAATGATGAAATACAGTAAATGTATGAACACATCACGTCCAACCTCGACATGGAGTCATTGTTTCGTTGTCACTCAAGCGAATTAAGGAAAGATCTATACCGTAGGTTTTTTCATGAGTTCGATAAACATGTTGCATTGTGGTCTAGCTTGGGTACAAACAACACCATGTAAGGCTTGATGAACAAGAGATGTTTGTTTGTTTTTAGACCACCGTGCAATATCTTCGCTTTCTCAGAAAAAAAATGGCCTGTGGAACATAGGGTTTTCCTTGTACCCTAACTGGAGTTTTCTCTTGAAATCCCTTCATCGAGAGTTTTCCAACATTTTTCCAATTCCACACCCTTTTGAAAGTGATTCTCATTTTATAACGGGCTTAAAAAGACCTTCAAAGTATTTCATTTTAAAAACTTTTTTTTCTTACGTAGCCATTTAAACAAAACAAATTGCAAAGCTTAATTTATAATGTCAGCAGTTTTCGTATGACTGAGAAAAGCTGGGTTTCAAATGCTTGCCTTTTCGCTACCCTGATGTTTTCTAGAATATTGATTGGCAGTTGTTTTCTTGTGTTTGGTCTGGCAGTGCCGTGACATTGGCGTGACCGTGTCCAAGCCGTGTTTCGGGCATTTGATTGGATGGAGAGTAAATTCTAGTGCAATTTGATTGGTCTGGCGTATGCCTTGCCGTGTCACGATCGTGAGCGTTTCACAGTCATATGAAAACTACTCTATTCATTATGCAGTCAAAATGTATAACCAGTGCATGCACTTCTGCTAAGGCTAAGGTTTACGGAGTATACATTAGAAACTAAATGAGTAACGAGCCAATTTCTGTTGATCAGCATGTGAATTAGGCTTAATCTCGATTCCTTCATAGGATTGTACAATAATTACCGCAGGTGATGATTGGTAATTACGTAATATTTCAAAGCCGACAATGAGGACTGGACGGGATTTCAAGTCAAAGCAATTAATTGCGCGGACTTGAAATCCCGTCCAGTCCGATATTGGAGGCTTTGAAATGACTTCTCATCTCATTAATTATTCGACTTGGAGTAACTGGAACAAAATTAATTCAGTCCTAGGACTGAATTAATTTTGTTCCAGTTACTAGGACTGAATTAATTTTKTTCCAGTTACTCCAGACTGAATGCATTCCTTTCACAGCACTTTACCAGGTTTCAAGTAACATCATGTGACCCAAAAATAGCCCATTGATTGGCTGGTTTATCCATGAATTATTAATGAGTATGAGAAGAGATAGATAACACTCTGCAGTTCAAGCGGCGTCGTTACCTCTGCATTTGTCTCTGGTTACCTAGATGGTGCTCCAACGCGGCCAGCTCAGTTGCTAGTGTTTTCTTTATTTGTAGTGCTTCATTTGTGCTGCTGCACTTCATCGACATAGTGATTTTTGGGATAATGATCAAAGATCATTGTTATAAAAAAATGATTACATCTTGCTGTATTCATGGCGCACCCTTGTCAATCTTAGGCATGATCACACTTGGTGTTGACTAAAATGACCGCAGAAGTCAATCGGAGGGGAATCTCTGGGTGCCTCTGCACTGCTTTTCTTCACTAGTAATGCCGTGTGAAAATATGGCAACTGGCAATGTAAAATTTAAATAGTGAATCCTACGTTCACTTCTGCTAAATAACGGCACAAAATCGTTAACGTTTGTAAACTAAAAGTGCCATGGTACAAGGTGGGCCCTTGAACCCAGGCAACGTGACCGTTGTTTTGAGATGAACTATTTCCAAGTCCACCAGGCAAGCACCAAGTGTGAGCATACCCATACTTGTAGCACTAAAGAGCTTCTATTTTGTACAGCAAACAAATGCGCTGCGAGCGAAATGCTAATACGAGCAGCACCTGCTCTGCAACTTGCGACATAACAGTGTTGCGCGAAAAGTTGCGCATGGCACTGATGCCCATACTACCGCACCTCAAACTAGTAAATCGTTTTCAGCTAGTGTCTTTTTATTTCAGTTGATTACAAACTGAATTAAAGAAAGTAGTGAGACGTAGTTGATTATCTTAATAAACAGACTTATTTAAACTTCTAAGACTCGGCCGATCGGCCTGTAATAGCCATCAGCCTTGATAAACTACTCAGGCTATAAACACCAAATTGATCGTTCTCGGGTGCAAATGGTTAAATCATCGAAGTTAAGACATATTAGGGGATATTCAGGGCATTTGGAGAGTGTTTGCATCCAGACAATGTATGACGAGTGACAAAATGCTTTCGGTTCGGTTACTTGAATCAATAGAGACCTTTAGATCCGACAACGACAACGAGTACGAGTACGAGTTTTTAACTTTTAAAGAGAGGCACTATCTTTTTGTATGCTTGATCGTGTACGTAGATTGAAACTTTAGTTTGTAAAAAATCGACTACGATTTAGTGTTAACCACGTGGACCACGTGTACAGGACCAATTTTAAAACTCGTTCTTGTACCCGTCGTCGTCGAGTTTGCAAAACTGCAAAATTCATAACATTAGCTTGATTAACAATTTACCCACAACACCCTTTGGTATCAGCTTCGATTATGTAAACTTTTCAATAAGACAACGTTCATTCAATTTGGTGTATGTTAAGCAATCATGCGATTAACCTGTCACTTAGGCTCATATCAAACGCCATACTGAGCCGAACCTAATGACATCAAGAAGACCGCCTTGTTATTCATAGTTTCAATAGCGCAGCGCACTGATTCTAAAAATAGCTTAAAGATTCGGACAAACATTGCATTCTGCTTAACCGCTACGAGTATCATACGAACCAATTTTATTATTTTTACTTAAAGTTACAATAATAACCCATGTAAACTAAGATCAACTGCGATCGGCTGTGAAAATTATCTGCTGAAAGTAAACTTGTAAGTTTGTCCGAATTTCGCCTTTGTCTTCGTTTTTATGACGTCACGGTTGCGCTGCGCTATTTGTTTCGGCTCAAGTGAAGTTCGGCGTTAAACCTGAGCCTTACATCGATGGTCTTTCTGTGTCGAACATTTTATTTATCTTATCTTAATAATTTGTTAAATGCGGGCAGTTTACTAGATAGTTTCGTGGTTCTCCCTCCCTACAAGGATACCAGGAAAACCCTCATTCTATGAGACATTAAGACCATGTGTCCAAATTAATCTGGATAGATTTAAAGTAACAACCTTTTTTATCCGTTTTGGCGTTCCGTACACACTAAAACGGTTCACATCTTTGACCAACATAAACGATACTTTCTAAAAGCGTCTGATACTCGAGAACTAATGAAGTTATCTGCGTGCTTAAAGTGGGCAGTTTTCGAAGATCAGCCAAGAGTTTTTTCACTCTTTCTACTTTGGTCTTATCTTGAGAATAACTTTAAGATAAAACTTTGAAAATCTGCATTTGAAAAGAAATTCTTGATCTGTGTTTACTCAGAGATGAAAATTTAATTTCAAAATCCATAAAACTGGCAATCTAAACTTATCTTTCGCATTATTTTCTGCCAAAATATCTCAAAAGAATTAAGGAATAAAATCTCAATCAGACTGGAAGCCACGGTTATGTGATATGTATATATAGTGTTTGAGTGCTCGCATACCTTTCTTTTAGCTTTAGAGTCAGAAGGATAATTTCGTGTAATCTGGATTAATATTTACTTTTTTGACAGTTTTCTCGTGTTTTTTTGTCTTCTTATTTGAATAATTGGTGTTTACTTTAGCGTGCTTTCATCACCACGACACAAAACGAACCCCGTTGCCATGAAGGCAAGCATTCGATACACATTCAATCCATCTTTGTAATGCATATGTATTAACATAAAGCTATGGCTTACAATTTTCGTCCATCAAGACCAAAAGCTTCTGTCAACCCTAAGCGAACGGCTAAACGCGAGTCGGTTTTCCAAGTAGAGCGAGGACCCATATCAAACCAAAAACGTGATGTCCAGCAACTTGATGAATTTCGGAATCGCTCATTTATGCAACGAGGATGTAACAATTTCCGAACGACATCCCAGCGTTCTGGTTTGACCATCGGCGAACAGGAGATTGAAAAATGCTCAAGCAAGACGACAGATTCTTCCAGTAGTCCAGGCTATCAAACGTTCTGCAGTGTACAGACTCTACCGTCTGTAGACAAGGATGYACTTGCAGCAAAGTTCACTCCAAGATGTTTTGAATACGTACAGAATTACCATCATTATATTCTCGATTTAAACAAATTGGAAAAGGGTGAACAAGTACCTTACTTGTCTCGCATGGAAAACAAAAATACTTTAAACTCATTTAAGAACGAAGGAAGAACGACCAAGGACAAATATCATACTCGAAACGGTTCAAAATCTAGCTCTAGTAACTATTTCTCAGGTCTACCAAGAAGAGCACCCAAGTCTGCTTCGCTTTCCAGGCGAGGATCTGCGGGTAATGGGAATAAAACTGACCTCAATTTAATGGTAAATAATTTCCCCAGTACCCAATCACAGCGAGGAGAAGAAGACAGCTCTAGAGGAGCAGGCAAAAAGGCCGAGGATCGTAAGGACACTGAAGATAATACTCTACAAGATTTGATTATATCCGAGATAGAAGATGAGCTTGACGACGGTCGAGCAAAGGAGTCGACGTCCGAATTTTCCAACTTCCATGTCGATAGCATCTATCAATATCCTAATCCCAGCACCACAGATCTACGAGTTCCCTCAGGGACGCCTGTTACCACTCCGCGCAGTTCATCAGTCCAACATTCCTTTCCTAATTTGCCGAATAATTGGTCAAGTGATAAGACAACAACGAATGGAAGTTTGCAAGGAGTCTCTTCAGAGGTCCGAAAACCTTATTTATCAGCATTTACCACTCGAATGCCGCCTCTTAAGGCGCCCGATATTTCTCTTAATGAGGAGCGCAGAAGACAAAGAAACACCTATATGCCGGACTACCAGCGCTATAGGATACTGTGTGACGCGTTCAGGCCTTTGTCACCCCAAGGGGGGAGGGGACGTAGACAAATTGATCGACATCGACCTAACTTTGTTACCTCGGAAGAACTTGACTATTATATAGATGTTGTAAATAATATCAATGCTGTTCATGCGTACTACAGCTACTAATTGTTTATCTAACAAATAAAGAAGCTATTCCGTGCTACGAAATTAATTTAGGATAAGCAGAACGTAGATAGCGACGAAACGAAGATGAGTTCTTCTCGCATTCCTTGTGCTTTCAGTAATGAAGCACGCACGAATTGACGGTAGTTTTCAATGCTATTCAATTACACTTCTTTGCAAAGTTGACTGCGCCCGCGAATGGCATCAGCAACCGTGCGTCCGTTCACAAACAGCACTGTTCTCGACCAATCAGAGATCGAGTACTATCTAAGCTACATAATAACAGTACATGCAGTTCTGTTTAGTCAAGCAAATTTTTCTAGGAAAAAAATTCCAAAAGTTTCCTAAGAAAAAAATTCCACGCTCCAGGTGGGAAATGAAAGTTCGGTCAATTCTGTGCAATTTGGTTTGAAACGAGTACTATATTTCCCTTAACCGTAAGATTTTCGGGGCTTTTTCATTGGCTGATCCCAAGCCACCACTGAGTCGTAGATTCGTTTGTAGTCGAGCAGCGAAATTCTGGGTTAACTTCCCCTTCCTTGTACTTGCCAAAATAATCACAGCCTTTACGTCGACACTGGTTTCTTCCATCCCACGAACATTCTCGACTGATTCCTTGATGGCTATCAATCAATATGTGCACCGTATCTTGGCGAAAGTGGGAAGTACAATTCCAACAGCTTTCTCCACGAATATTAATGTATATCACTGTAAAACATCCATGTCGACTGCTGTAGTTCACAATATCTAGGTCACTTAGCTGGCCTTGGACATAGTCTGTCTTGACTAATCCATCGGTGTTGTAGTTACAAGAGGCTCTCCAGTGAGTTGCGTGACTTCTGATGCCTTGCATGACAAAGCGTGACACACGGTAATCTTTCCAGTTAAAGCTTTCTTCGCTGGTGGGGAAATCTATCGTCAATGGCTTTTTCATATATTTTACTCTCTTCGAAAAAGCAAACGACTCGATCAAAGTCCACACCATCCCCGGCTCTGACGTCATATCACAGTACACCTTCAAAACTTTACCATTGGTTGTTTGGATTGGATAGATATTTGGCACAGACATGTGCCTGTACGTACGCTGCACATGAAGGAGGAATCTGACAAACTCTTCCACCAAAACCCTGTGCACATTTGCACTGAAACTTGTGTGTGACGTTTTGGCACGTCTCGATGCAGGTTCCACCGTTAAGACAAGGTTTAGAATAACGACAACAGCCATTATTACACTGACTTGAACAACTAACACTGTTGGACTGCGATAGATTAAAAACTCTTTTTAGAAAAATGACAATTCTAGAAGTGTAATGAAGGAGTTTTATAAGTAGTAAGTGCATAAATTACAGAATTAATATTATGTTTATTTCACCTTTCTCAACTGTTGCTTCAGTTCGTAGTACTTGTATCCAGGCAATCGTTTAAAAAGGTCAGGAGCTGTGTGTCTGTCCTCGTCAATCAGCTCACATCGTCTACCAGATAGTTGATAGGACACACATCGACAGTCATTGATACAGACACTGAAGCACTCCTGTACGGTATTGGTGGTCAGATTTTTGTAGGATCGTCCAGTCAGGGCGTGGTCTTTCACGTGGTCACTCTCATTGAATTTGCCAGTGTATCTTACAACTGGACACGTGTCTTGACTGAAGACAAGCGCAAACACCGAGCAAAGAAGAAGGATGAGAAAAAATGGCGCGAATTTCGCCCACCAACACATCTAGAGAAGGAGACAAAATCAACAAAAATAACCTAAGACCGAAACATCTGTACAATCTCTCTCTCTCTCTCTCAAAAAAAAAAAAAAAAAAGGCCAGAGCCAAAAGTCTAACTAAAATTATCATTGAATCCTGGCTTCAATGCTCTAGCAACGGTTATCCTTAAATTTTTCTGATGAAGGCAAACACTGAGGCCACGTTCATCGACATCTGTACCTAGTCTAGCGTGCACTTAGTTTCTATCCGCTCTGAAAGTCGCGCGCAGAAAAATAATTTTCAGCTTGTCGTATCGTACAGAACCCAGAATGGATTAGTCTGTACCTTTGAATCTTTCACAGTCACACAGAATGTTCCTTTATTATCCTTTTATAAGCTTTGAGTTTTGGAAATTAAAAAAGTGACTTTAAAAGTAGTTTTTTATGGTGGAACATTTAGGATACGGATGAGGACTACATCCCGGGCGGAGAGTGATACATGTAATGCAATCGAATTAATATATTCTAATGCAGGATTTTTTTTATTCTGATCYGAATTTATTTATGGTCTTTGGATTTTTAACATGCTAATTATGATGCATTGCGAGTTTCGATTTGACCGAGTGAGAGACTGGTTGTCAAAACAAGATGGTGGAGCAAGTCGCTCGGCATTTTGCTGCTTTTTGGGAACTTTGATCGAAATAATAATAATGAAATCGCAACACAATCCAATAATTTTTAGCGATCATATGATCTTAAGGTTTAAAACTATCATATTAAACAAAAAAAACAGCGAACCCTGATATGCACTTTAAGTGAACAGTCAGAGTTGATATTTAACTTGGAAAGGCGGTGAATGAGTACAGAGTCGAACGGTCCGAAGAGAGAGAAAAACGAATGTGGATTGTTCACCTGCAGCAAGATGTTGTACATCCGTGTTTGAAATATTTTCGAAAGCTTTTAAAGCTTTTGCTGCACGTCGACATGCTAAAGAAATGATGTTGTAGGGCATATGATGATGGTGGTGCATTAGTCGATCAGGAGAATAGCAGTGTGTTGCATATTTTAAGGGGGAAAACACAACGCTTTTAATTTTAGTTAAATATATTTTTCAGCAGTGCATATGCCATCGTTAGYATAGAGTGGAATGGATAACAATTTTAGAAAGTTGAATAAAAACAGTGAATTTTCAAAGGACATCATTTTTTAATGAAGCTGGTGCATTTTTTTTCACATTTTCGTATTCAACAAACCTACCTTTAAGGATAAGTTTCGTATTATTCTTGAACACTGTTAGCCGTCAGAAAGATGTACACGGAATCCCTTCGACGATAAAATCGTCGCCCGGCAGTTCTAAATGAAAGGGAAACTCGCTGTATTATCGATCAAGAGGCCCTTTTGTTTTGTATCAAGGCCTCAGGTAGTTACGAAATGTTTTCCCCCAAACGTATTTCCATTAGAATAGCATGGTAGCCTTGTCACCTGTTTCGTATTAATCCCGACGCGGTTTACATCACTTTAGTATTTTTCAATTCTGTGATAATGTTATATTTTTTGCTACTGAAAAAACTTAAAAATTCAGAAAAAATTGTTTCAGTTTCCCTGAGTCCCCTTGTCCAACACCATGGAAATATCAACACAACTTTAGAAATTCTGGTTCCCCTCTCTGATTACGAGTAACTATGCTCTGCATGATCAAGCACAAAACATTTCAAGTTAATCGTAGCGTAATCGTAACTATTTTTTCGTTTCCACGGAGGACTCGACTTGAAATGTTTTGTCCTTAACCACTCAACCAGAATATCGAAAGCTGGCTTTTTAATGAACCAACCTATTAAGATTTCTTTTCAGGCCCCGTCCACACTATGCCGGATGAATTTGAATCTGTGACGTGGGATGTTTTTCCCGATGACTGGGATGGGGCGGACTAGCTCGTCCCACCGTACACACACGTAGACTTTTATGGATTTTCTGGTCTTTTATTCGCTTGGTGGTTTCCTTCGCTTGTCTGACTATTGGTCTGTACACTTCTCTTCTAACTCTTAGTGTGAATTGGAAATTGAACTTGAACTAGAACTCGAACTCAAAAACAACTAACTCTTAGTGTGTGCTACAAGCACTTAAGTATTATTTGTGGTCTATAGAAAGTGACGTCAAGCCGATAATGACCTGACGCTAACTGTGATTGGTCAATGCGACTCAGAGGAGTTAATGAGCTAGTTCCCAATTCCCGAGGAGGAATTTGAACTAAC